ATTCTTCACCTAAAACTCTTCTCATTTCCAAAGGCACTGGGAAGTTGTATCTAACCCTTTCTTAAAGTCTCCCCTTGTGGAGTGTAGACTTGGCCAGAGTCTACCTTGGATATTCATACTCCAGAGAGAAGTAGTCGATAAAGGGCACACAAAAGTTAAATCTGTGAATGAGTTTCTTGGACTCTCTTTTAACCTTCTTATTTTGCATGTAAAATACCTAGTGCAGTCTCTGACCTATAATAGGCACTAAATAAAGTAGGTATAACTTAGCTGGGCTGAGCATGGGGTCCATTCATTCACTTTTTTTTTTCCCTTGTTGAAGCCCACCTACGTTCTTTACCATGGAAGGAGTCCTTCTCAGTATTGAAATCTAGATCGACATAAAAACAGAACTTCCCTGGAATCGTGAGTATTTAGTTCTTATCTTCTCAGAAATCCTGAAAGAGTAAATCTTATTCAAAGTGGTTCTTTATGTCATATCTCCCCCACCCTTTTTCCTCCATCTCTGCATTGCTCTGGCTCTGGATTCTGTTGACTATTTTCTGGTTGAATTTGACACCTAATAGTCATCAACTGATTGCATCCAATTAATAGCCATTATAGTCATCAGTCACTCCCTATTTAAACATGCGTTTATTGATCTGATAAGATTTTATTTTTCAGAAACATAAACATCATGCCATTTAATTTGGCCCCACTACTGTCTCTAAGCACCATGAGAGAGGCATTTAAAAAGGCAGCATTGGGGTAGGGGGAGGGAGGGAGAAAGACTGTCTTTCTTTCTAAGAAGAGGGGAAGAAATCAGGTTAAACTTTGATCACTGTCATCTCACCTTTGGACTTTTATTAAAACTGTTTGACACAGCTGTGCTGGCAGACAGAGCAGGAAGATAAATGGGCCTGTGTGAATAGGTTTAATATCAAACGTGGATATGAGACACATCAGGTTATTTCATCCAGGAAATGTTCACGTTCTACAAGATTTGCAGGTGACTGTTGGTGAGGCTTTCGGGCCCAGGGGGCCAAAAGGTGAACATAATTGAGGTACCTCTTGCCATGAATATTTCACAACCAGAGTATCCCTTTTTCACTTGGGGCTGTGCTGACTGAGCTCTTCTTCAGGATGAGTCCTCAGTTGACTGATGAATACAAAACGGCTCTCAGAACAAAAGGCATTCAAGATTCGCTGAAGACAAGACAACCTACTTTGGTTTCTGTGTCTGGTACCGGGGTATCAACGGAGATAAAACACTGAGTGACAGGGAAGTGAAATACAGAATAACACAATCTATTGTTCCCCCATTGACTGTAAGCATAATGGGAAAGTTAGCGAGTCACCGTAATGTCATGGACCGCTGTGAACTTGGGAGAACTCAAGGATCAGAAAGTAACATGAAACAAGGAGGGAAAGGAAGATAATATTGGGTTACTGAACATTCTCAAATTGTACTGAAACGCATCCCATCCCTTTGGTGGGGGCATGTTTTTGACAAGGAAGACAATGGGAAGAAACTGGCGGCTGTAACAATATCACCATTTTCTTTTACGGCGGGCCGTAATGTGAACTTCTTAGAAGACACCTTCTTTCACCACAGCTTTGTTGTTCGGTCTATTGAGGAGCCCAGAGACCAAAGTCGTTACCTTGTTCCGGGGGCCGTCTAAAACCAAGGAGCCTGGCTCTCCCAGCCAGCGACAGCTGCTCTGTTGTGAAGTACAGAGCCGGTTTGCGGCCGAGGGCAGAGGAGAGGAACTGAGAGGGAACAAGAGAAGAAGGCGAGGGAACAGGCAGGGTGAAGAATCTGGTGCACACAAGAGAAAGAGCTGGGAGGAGAAAACTATGGCGGTGCGGGGAAGAAATGAGGAAAGGAATTTTCATGGTGGGTGATGGAGGGGGAGGACACAGGTGCGTTACTGTTCCAGGGTCTGAGCAAGGGAACCCTCAAATGAAGTAAAATAGAACAACCAACAGCAAGAACAGAATCACTCTTAGAGTGATTTTGCTGCAACCGGGAATCCACCCTTGGATTAACTGTTTTCGGGGAGAAATTTAGCTAATGCTTCACTTGGGAACTTTTTGAAAAATCAGCGACATTCTCACACTAACACATCCTTTGACAAGCACACAGCATGGAGAACGTACCTCTTCACCTAGGGTCCTGACATAGGTCGACTTAGAACAGTGCTGATGAAGGCTGTGGACTCTTTTCTTATAGAAAAATAAACACAAATACACAGATACGACATTTTGCACCCAAACTCAGTGGGTTCACACACTTCTGAAGTCCATTCATAAGCCTCTGAGAATTCCACAGACACAGGTTAAGAACTGCTACTCCGGAGAATCCAGCAAAGAGCTCGCATGGAGTAGATGATCAATAAGCTCTTGCACCTTCAAATTAGGAAAGTGCTCTGATCAACTGAATATCCCAGTTGGCCAAAGTTTACCATATATGCCTTCACAAATAACTGATCTTCGAGGACCTAGAGATAAAGACAATAATTTCTGTATCAAAAGCACACTCACTGCTCTATAACCTTTGTGATTTTTGCTTTTTGACGGTTCAGAAGGCACCCGAGAATCCGAGATGGCGATCTGTGCGTCAGAGATCGCGGCGCAGCACGCTGTACGCTGAGAAGGTTAGTAAGAGGGGTCTGATCCACTGTCTCCTTAATCCAGCCTCTAGAAGTAATTTTTCTTAACCAATTCTGAGCACAAATCCCTGTGTTCTCCTCTCCCTTAATAAAAGCGGAGTTGAGAGTAGTTTTGCATTTCAGCTGCTGGCTTATGTGGAACGTAGCTGTGTCAGGCGTATTGGCATGAGACGGGCGCATACCCACCACAAACAGCCTCTCTTCTCTCCGCCAGGAATACCAGCCCTTCCGTCCTGCACCTTCACCAGCTGATTTCTTCTTGTTGGAACTGACAGCTCTTGGAGGGCCTGGCTGCTTAAGGTTCAAGCTAACTTAGAATTGGGCGGGTTGATTCCTGGAGCACTTAACTAAGGCACAGAATGAGTATGCAGCTTGGCTGAGAAGGAGGAGATCTGAACCAGTAAAGCAGTAGTGGAAGCTGACCTTGATGAGTCAGTGAGAAGATGTGGTCAGTAATCCAGGGAGGAGGACTAGTTCTTTGGGGATACTTGGAGCATGTAGAAAAAGACCCATTAGATAGAATGGGGAGAGAAGTGTCAAAATTATCTGTATTATAAGGGCATCACTTTTGTTCTTTCACTTGAGTGTGAAGACACAGAGCTTGGTTGAATAGGAGAAAGGAGATCCAGATACCTATAATGAAATAACTTTCTTTCTGACATGCTGAAATGTTACAAGGGGTTGGTTGATACATATGGAAGTGAGAACCCGGAAGCTGAAAATTCAGACACTTCGCAAATTACTAGGGGACTAAGGGAACAAATGACGCTTTAGGACACAAGTGCTATAAGCAGAAAGTTAATTCTACCTGCAGGAGTGTTTGAATAACATTTCCTCCTACCGCCATCACTACTGCTACCAGCCCTTACCAGGGGCAGGAGGGGGCTCATTATATAATAAGCTTATTAAGCTAATTCATATATTAATGTAATCTTCAGTATGATCCATGAAATAAATAAAGCCACCCTCATTTTAAAGATGAGGAAAATGAAGTCTAGAGGTAACTCTGTTCCTCATCCCAGGACATCCTGCCAGTGAGGGGGTAATAGAGAATTCAAATTAAGGTTCTACTGAGGCCAAAGAGTGGCACCTCATAAGGCATGGCGTTTATTTTCATGGGCAACATTGTACTTTTTGATACAAGGGAAACTCTGGGTTTTAGGAAAAAAGAAAAAAAGAGCCAAAACACCCAATCCTCATGCCTGATCTTCCCAACTGGACTCTTCCCAGTTTAGTTTGTGGTTACTTATGACTCTGGAGGTGCTGGTGATGTTGGACACATTATTTAACCTGTTCAAGCCTTAATTTCCTCTTTTTCTAAATGAGGCAATTATATTTAACACTCTGATTTTCTTTTTAGCTTTAACATTTTTTGATTTTATTAGCATCTGAACCCCGTATGTATGGGAATTGCAGACATCACTGGAGACACAGTCTTGGGCATGGTGGGGCTTGCCACCTCAAGGCTCCCCACCAGGCCCTGAGCTCTTCCGGAGCAAACACGACGTCATTCATCTCTGTACCTCTGCCCAGCATCTCCCCATGCCTCACTCTCTGCCCACATGTTGTAGATGCTCAATGAATGTTCATCAAAATTATACAAAGAAGGGAGCTAGTCATGATAAGCAGTTCTAACAAAACAGAATGTGGCAGGTACCTTGGAAGCAATATAGCATAATGAGAAAGGCCACAGGAAAGGAAATTAACACCAGCGGGAGTGATCAGAGGGACTCCATGGAATAGCTGGCTTCTGACTTTGAAGGATGGGCAGGGCCTTGATAGGCAGACGTGGGGCAGCATGAGGAAATTTGAGAGACAGGAAAGCTTCCTATTGTCTGGCTTTATCTGACAAGTGGTGTATATAAGAGATGCTAGCAGCAGATAACACTAGAAAGAAAAGTGGAGCCTTCAATTTTTGAGCTTTTGATTTTAGATAGTTCTGTCGGCAATGAGGAGCCATTGAGGGTTTTTAAATAAAAAAGTGGCACCAGCGGTTATGTCATATTTATAATCCAATCAACACTGAGCATTGTAGCAGGGCCTTTCACATGTTTTCTTTGATTTAATCTTATTTAACTTACGACAAAACAACCCTGTAAATTAGATAGCTTTACTGGATATTAATTATATCTCACTAAAAATGAGTAATTAAAAAATGTCCATCTTTGAGATGAGGTTGAAGAAGCTCCCACTCAAAAATCAGACACTCAAAACCAAAACACAGTCCTCTTCATTTTAACTGTTATAGGATACCTTTTTTTTTTAACCCCTAACAGGGGTTAACAGGAAGGAAGGAAGGAAGGAAGGAAGGAAGGAAGGAAGCAAGGAAGGAAGGAAGGAAGGAAGAAAGGAAGGAAGGAAGGAGGAAAGAAAGAGAGAAAGGAGGGAGGGAGGAAGGAAAGGGGAGGGAGGAAGGAAGAGGAGACAATCTCAGGACTGCACCCTTACTTCCATGGCCAGATGGGTATAAATTGGGGTGGATGATAAGCCCAGCTTCTGTCCAAATGAGCTCAGGTCACATGACCCACTACTGAGCTTCAGGCTTGTATGAGAATTTTTTTTTCCAATGCCCTCTCCTTAACCAGGAATATGAAGTTTTTTTTCTAGGTGTCTGAATTCAATTTGGCAGTTTCCTAAGCTCTGTATTTTGTCTCCAAGCACACTATCATTTATATATACATATACATATATATATATGTATATATATATATATATATATTTTTCCCCCCTGCAAGTGGAAATTCCAGGACTGACAATGTTGCTGCTGAAACCTTCCTTGAGACAGTTCATTTAAGAAGATTGGTTCCCATGGGACCCTCCTTCTTAGAGTTACTTGATTGTGTTAAAGAGATTTATTTCCAGACAAATTGGCTTATAAATATGAGCCAGCCCATGAAAGGCAGTCCACAGGGCAGGTCTTGAGGGAACGATTCTTTCTACTTTAGGGACTGGGTTTGTGAAAGGCCTAACAGAGAGCTCCTTTTCCTGCTACCAGCCGTGAGTATTTAGTTCCCACTGAATGTGACCATTCCTCTCGGTGTGCTTCACACCACAGGTCCCAAGGGCTTGTCAATGCATCAGCGTCCCGCTGCGATTAGGTTAAGAAAACTGATGCAGAGAGAAGTCATACCTCTGTAAGCAACTTTTTATTGGCTGAGGTTTCCTAAAGCACCGCTTTCATTGTCTCCAGAGAAGATTCCCTCATCCTGCAGCCACTAGGAGACGAGTGACAAGATGGAGGTGGCAAGCCTGCCTCACGCTGGGGACACATGGGCTCCGCCTTCAGTTTTTCACTATAGAAGGACTTCTTGGAAGGGAATGGAGAAGATACAGTTGTAGTTGGGTTAACATGAAAGAAAAAAATACAAAAAGCCACTCGAGGATTTTAATTTAGATCCTAACGTAAGCCTCTTGTTTCAAGTGCATCATTTAAAATACCCCGAAACATTGCAAGTTTCCCTTTACTTCTGGAAATTTTACTTACTGTTAGCGTCTGCCTGCTACTTGCACTAAAGACCCTTTGAAAGTCCCCAAAGGCTATGTTCTTCTGGGGGAGGCGGGCAGGGAGTCTTTTCTGTGGTACTCATGGGAAATGGAGCCACAGATGCTTCTGGAAGCCGGGAAGCAGGATGCCAGTTTCTAGAGCTGGGGCAGAGTTGGCCTGCAACCAGCAAGTCTGTCTCTAGGAGTCTATAGCAAAAATGCCCCAGCTCACCACAGTTTCCTATTTTCTCCACCTCAAAGTCCTAGATCTGAAGCTCATTACAGATTGCATGAACCTCAGACTCACCCAGCAGCTGCTGTCAGGGCAGAAGCTGGGGTTAGAGCAAACTGAGATGCCTATTAAGTCGCTAAAAACCTTCCAAAAGAGTTTGAGGTCTTTGTAGCAAGGACACTTTGCTCCTGGATTTTGCACAGAATTAGAACACGTGGGTGCCATTTTCAAGGGCTGTCAAAGAACCCCAGAGGGAAGAGACAGGGATGTAAGTTGCAGCTTGGGGTCCTTCCACCCAGTCATCTTCCCCTGGGTGCCCAACAGAAGTGCACCCTTTGCTGCCAGAGTCGTTTGCAGTACCTTCCTTTCTGCAATACTCCTTCTTGTCTGGTATGCATTCCAAAAGGCTCTCAAATCTCCCCTTGGAGCCGAGACACCCTGAGGAACTGGGGGGGGGGTTCTGGAGGGCCACAGAGAGATGGCACAGCATGCCTGTTGGGGTTGAGGACAGCGAGGCCCAACCTGAGGGTTTCCTCCAACCGAGAGGGACGTGTGCTGTTGTCCTTCCTCTGTGCTGGCCGGGAGCATGGCAAGGGCGAGTTCAGAGAGGAGGATGAGAATCACAGAAACTCTGAAGCAGAAGCAGAAGCAGATACATCTTCTTATTTTGTCGTTGACGAGGACTTAGAATTTCCATTGTGGATCCCAATACAAATGCTGTGGAGTCAGCCAGACCCGAGCTGGGATGCCAGCTTGTCCACTCACCTCCCTGAACCCCTATTTCCTTAGCTTTCCTTATTCCACCTTGTTAACATTTACAGAATGTTTCCTTAAAGTCAAGTACTATTGGAAACGCTTTACGTGCATTAACTCTTCAAATCTTCACAGCTCCCCTATGATGTGGAGTAGAGTCTGTGAGCTCCATCCAACAGATGAAGACACTGAGGCACAGAAAGGCTGAGTAACTTACCCCAAGTCACACAGCCAACAGAGCAGAAACTGGAATCCAGGTGGTCCAGCTCCAGCGTCCATGCTCTGGACACCACTTTACCTTGCTTCTGCAGGATTAAATGAGAGAGTGCAGCCATAGATATTCCATGAGTAATAATTATAACCATTTCAAGTCATCAATAAAATACGTGAGCCATTACTCCTTGAGCACTGTTTTTTCATTTGTTTGTTTTTTTTAAAGCTAGAAATCCGAGTAACCATGTTGGCATCTAGCCCCGGAGACTTCAAACTTTTGATCATACACCCCAAGTTGTAACACATTCTCAAACATGGGAGGATGCATCCCATAAGTATACATGTACCTATTAGTGTATAAATTAGATAATGCCTTCTTATACATGTGTCTATTATAAAACACATGGAAATCCAAAGTTAAAAAGAAGAAATGATGAAAAACTAGAAGTTTAAATAACTACCTCTCGTCTTCAGGGGATGCTCTTGCTCACTGTACTCTGAAGACCACTGAGAAGTCACACTGCTCCACGTGACCCACAAAGATTAAAGAGAGAGCCCAGACCACCAGATCCCCCCACCTCACCACACTGATGGCTCCTGATCCTTCCAGTCCAGGTTCTAAACCCAGTCGTGCCCTTGCGGGGCACCAGGCCAGTCATGGGCAAATCTATGAGCTGAGCAAAGCAACATCTTCAGCCTCCTGTTCTGTGTCCTCCTCCCTTCTCAGCACCCTGCTCCTGGGCCCTCTCTGTGCCTCCTGCTTGAACAAAAATATTTAATTTCCGTCAGCCTACCTGAATTTGTCTCTCACAGGGTTATTTGCATTTCAAGCCTTATCTCTGATTAAATTTAAAAGCTCATTTTCCTCAACAGCCAAATGGGGATGTTCACTCCCCCTGTATATAGGTGCTGTGAAGTTTAAGTGAGGAATCATTTATGACCATGCCTAGCACAGAACCCGGAGAGCAGCGGGCACTCCATACGGCCCAGGCATGGCTGTGGGGTCTGAACCCAGAAGGGAAGACTCTGATCTTCCTGAAAAGAGATGTTACCCTAAAATGACAACATATCCTGCAAAAACCCCATGCAAGCCGAATGGCAACAGGCTGGCTGCTAACTTCTGGGGCCCTCTGCCCCGCAGGGACGCTGGGTGAGTGGTACAAAGGAGAGGATGCTGCGTTTGGCTTCCTCACTGGAGGGTGGGGTCCTGACAGTGACTTCCTGTAGCTTAGTCTCTCCAGCCTCAATGCACACGCAGGCCTTAGCTTCCCTCCTCCCCAAAGCCCCTTTCCGCTCCTGGACCCCCCTGACCACTCACGAGGGAGGCACCGGGCTGAGGACAGAGAAGGGGTGCGGAGGAGCGTGCCCTACAGAGCTGAAGGGCAGCTGTTTATATTATAATTAAGGTTTACAGCATAAGCTGAGATGTAGCTTGACGATTCCAGCAAGGCGCTGGAGGTAATTACCACTGCTAGAGGCGTTCTCCACTGCCAATTATTTCCCTACCTAATTGAATAACTCGGGCCGCATTGTAGAGAGGCAGGGGAAGGCCGAGGCTGCTTTCAAATATGGATGTTCCTTCAGAGGCCTCAGAACAGCTCAAAGCTTCCACATCCTTTTCCTAACATCCTTTCCCAAGAGTGTGGTACGGAGGATAAGGCCACGGGTCCTGGCGGTTCACAGCCTCCTGGCTTGGGCAGATAACAACTCCTTGAGTCTGTTCCCTCATCCATAAAATGGGTCTAATTGAAGTGTAGACTTCATAGCACTCTTGTGAGGACTGAATAAATGATAATCACCCTGGCATTGAATACTTTGGGCTTATGGACAAGACGCCCACAGAGGGTGTGGCCGTGGAGGGGGAGGCACTTCTGTTTTCTCTGAACAGAAGGGGGAGATTGAGACAGAGAGCACACCTCAGTCCCGTGTGAAACAGCTCGGTTAAGGCCCGCACCAGAGAGAACGTGCGGCTCCTTGGCTTACAGGGAGTGACTTCCTGGGAGCTGTGGAGGAAACAGCCCCTCTCAAGAAGGTTGGGCAGATCCCCAGGGCATCTAGTCCCCTCGAGGGTTTGCTGCTCTCTCCCCCTTCCCTGTGTCCCCACAAAGTGCCCGGCGCTATGCACAGTGCCCTGGTCGTCTCCCCAGACTCTGGGCAAACCTGTGATTAATAATACATACATCCGTAGAGCACTTTCCCCATTTAAAATTTTTTCTACTTTTACACACGTTATCTCCTTCGATCCCCACAACCGCCAAAGACAAGTATCGCTCCTGGTTTACAACTGGGGAAACAGAGGCCAAGAGAGGTTCAATAAACAGCATGAGCTCAATCAGCGACACCAGCACAGGCCTTCTGCCTCCAACCTCCCCGCAGCTCCGCAGGGAGCCGATTCTGCCCCCAGGGTTTTCCACACGCCCTTCCCAGTGGCCAGCTCCTTGGCCACTGAGACCACAGGGTGTGTTTAAAACATCTCAAAAGTCAGAGATGACAGTGAGTCTCAAAGTATGGTGTGCGCGGGAGCCTCCTGGGGAGTGTGTTCACACATGCAAATCCCAAGGCCACACTCCCGGGGGTTCTGATTCTGGCCCCTTCTCAACCCTGGGATCTGAAGTTGAAGCAAGTCCTGGAGTCCTTCTCATTTCAGTGGTTCCGGAGTCACACTCTGAGAAACACTGGACTAGGAGAACATGGATGGGCAATGGGGGCCCCTGAACTACCTCCTATTGACCTCAGTGAGTTAACTTCAACTTTCTGAATGTTGCTTTCCTTAAATGCAAATGAAGATAATAATATTGCCCTTTGGGGATTTTGTGAGAATTAAATGAGATGATGCATGTGCAGTGCTGAGCGTCGTGCCGGCGCCTGTAAAGTACTCAGCTGTGTCAGAACCGTGAGCGTTGCTTCCGCCCTTGTCATTAACACTGAAATCCAGTCCAGTCTGGTGCTACTCAAGGGATAAATTACTATAGCTTAGAACCTTCTCATTTGGAGTCATTTAATCTATGGAAAATTGGGATATAGAAGAGACATAAATAGGATTTGATAAACTTAAATCATTTTTTAATAAAAGAGTGGCTCATTTATACTTAGCTAGCTGCCTTAGGGTTGGGGTGTTGGTAGAGAAAGAACTGTTTGGACAAATAGGAGTTTGGTCCCCAATTTGCAGATGCTGACCAACAGCAGGAAAGGGAGGCAGCTGATGGATAAACCAAGAAGGGCTTCTTGAGAACTGGCTTTAAATCGATGTGATTAGAACAAAAAATCAACAGCAGCCAGCAGTGATGTGGATGAGAACTCGAGAACCCCTTCCCAGTCATGCCAGTTTCCTCCTAATTCTCCTGGCAATATGGCAGGTGCATGCAGGGACCCCAAGTGGCTTCAAACAGATCTGACATCTGGGCGGAGGGGCACTCTGTCCTCCTCCTGGAAAAAGCCTGCCCTGAGGCTGCCCTAGGACTGCCTCCCCTGGTTCCTCCAACTCAGGGGAGAGAAGAAGAAACATCAAAGAAAGTAAGACAAATGGAGCTGAGAGATGGTCTACAGACACTCTGTGGCGGGACCGCCCTCCATCTCTCTCAGTCTCTCTTCTCCTCTTAGAACTTGGCAGAGGCTCCCGGTGGGGCGTGAAGTGGCTGTATCAACAAGGACTACTCACTCGCCTGGGGCTGGGGGTCTGGACTGTCATTTCACCAGGCCATCTCCCTCCCACACTCTGTGGTAGTCAACTAGACACGTGAAACCACGTTTCTGATGAGAGAAGGCTCACAGACCTGCTTGGGCACATTTTGGCATCATGGGGGATGTACTCCAAGTCAGAAACCTTCTCACTTCCATGACCCAGGACGGTGGGGGCAGGTGCACCTCAGCCCTGAGTCAGGGGGGTCAGCCTCAGCCTCCCTTTGGAAACTTGAATCCCACAGCACATTTTTGGGTGAGAGCAAACTACTCCAGAGAGTTGCCTCATATTTAAGCTCTGCAGGCAGCTACCTGCATAGTGGAAACTGAGAGCCCTTGAAAACCCCACCCCCCAAAACCCTCTCCCCTGAGGGCAATTATTTCTGTCTTCAAACAGTCCTCTTCTGGCCCAGGATAGTCTGTCCCTAACCCTCCTCTCGGATCCAAGCCCAAGATGACCCGGGGCAGAAGGGAGTGTACTGCAGTGGGGAGAAAGTTGCAGAAATAGGGGACTAAAGTCAGTTTCACTCTATGTATTTTCCTAGAAGGCCACCCTCCTCATCTCCCCTTCTTCATGACCTGCGTTTGTCTCTGTCACCTGCTCCCTGTGTCTTTTGCAATCTCTGACTCTCCGCAATGCCAGCTCAGTGCTGGGCACACCGTCGCTCACACATGGATGAATGACCCAGAGAGGCTCGGGGGAACCACTCAGGGTGCAGCCTTCCCTGTCCTCCTTTCCCCCATGGGAGAAGCCCAGAAGGAAACAGACACTGCAAAGAAAAGATGGTTAATGTTTTACCCAAAGCCCTGCTCCACAGTAACGTTCTCTGTTTGTGCTAACTGGTGTCAGTAACTGTGGTAAAAGCACATATTTGCCTGGAAAGCTGCTGCCTTTCATATAAAAGCAGTCAAGACTGCCTCCATATCTCAACCCTTATTTCTTCTCCATCTTCCTGTATCCATTTCTAGAATCCCCTTCTCTCGCAGACCCAAACAACTTTCCCAACCCCTTCACCTTGATACTCTGCAATACACTTTGTCCCTTGTCTGTTCCTCCCCCATCCACAGCCTCCACAGCTGGTCCCTCCAAGGCCTCAGGCTAGTGAGGCCACAGTCCCTGGACCACTCAGATTCCTTTTTCTTTTTCAAGGATTCATGCCATAGGAGGTGACATTATCAAGAAGAGGAAATGCACACACTATATTGCTGGGGAAATGTGACTTTGGACAAGACGGGGTGAGCAGGGATAGAGATTACCCATTTCACCCACAACAAGGAGCTGGGGAGAGGCTGCGCTCGACTGGGAATTTTATTTGTTTTAATATTATCGTTTGGGGAATATAAGATAATACTTCCCTTGGTTTCCCTCAAGAAGGAGCCTCTTCACACTAGGTTTGTGGCGCTCTTGGTGGGTTGCCCCTTCCCTAGATGAGAACATCACGGTGGCATTCAGGCCCTTCAAACCTGCTGGCTGCAGGACATGCCCCTGTGGGTCTGACAGCTCCTCATGGTCAGGACCCTTCCCGGGGTGATCTGGGGGCCAGTGTCTCACGAGCCCCGGTGTGCCCTCCTCTGACCACAGCATCTGGCAGTGCACATCCCATCTGTCCTTCCTGAAGTGACTTCTTTATTTGGTTTCCAGGGACCCCAGTCTTCTTCCTACATCCGTGGACACTCCTGTGCTATGTCCTCCTCTTCCAAATTCCTAGTAGTTGGAATAAGTTGGCCTCAGTCCTTGGACTTTTTCTCTACTACTTTACTTCCCCTTGTTCTCGCTTTCACTCATGGAGTTAAACATGGGGTTGAATCATAAGAAATATCTGATATTCAATCTTTTTCACCTACGAAGATGGAGATTTCAATGGTTCCACCTAACACTGTCTATGGTAACTACCCAATCCACATGTGTATCTTGGTCCCCGACCTCTCCTTGAGCTCCAGACTCACCTATCCAACTGCCCACCTGACACCTCCCCTTGGATGCTCAATAGCCACCTCCATGTTATCCTAAGCAGTTCAGAACGGGAACCTAGGCTTCCCTGCCATGTTCGGTCCTCTCTCAGTCTTCCCCTTCTCAGCTAAGGACAAGCCACTCTTCCGTCTGCTCACATGAAAACCTAGTGGTCATCCTTGCTTCCTTTCTCCCTCACATGCTCCAGACGTAAGTCCTACTAGCTCTGAGCTCATGTCTCACATCTCCACTCCTGTCACCCTGGAGTTGTCGCCTGGCTTTGCGTGACAACATCCTAACCGGTTTCTGCCTGGACTCTTGGGTCACCTAAAATCTGTTCTTTGTTCAGCGATCGTCACTGTGATCTTTCCAAAGCATAGGTCATGGCACGCCACACTCCCTGCCCAAATCCTCCAGTGACTGCCCATCACACTCAGAATAACACCTCAACCCCTTACCCTGCCTGTTTTTCAGCCTCTGTCTTTCTCTCTAATCTCCATCTCCTTCCATCTTCACTCAGCTGTAACTCAAGGCCTTCGAACCTCCTATTTCCTCTGCCCCTAACATTCCTCACTCCACTCATTGAAGCCTCTATTTACATATCACCTCCTCTGGAAAGGCTTTCCCAGACTCAGCCCATTCCAGGGGGATACGTACCCCTTCACCTTGCTTTATGTCACCTTCTTTCCATGTGACAGTATATTATTTTATAATCACGTATTTATGAGTCTACTGTCTGTCCCCCAGCTAGAATCTAAATTCTCTGAGGGCAAGGATTTTTTTTTAATTGAAGTATAGTCAGTTTATAATGTGTCAATTTCTGGCATACAGCATCATGTTTCACTCATACATGAACATACATATATTTGTTTTCATATTCTGTTTCATTATAGGTTACTACAAGATATTGGATATAGTTTCCTGTTCTACACAGTATGAACTTATTGTTTATCTATTATATACATATAGTTAGTATTTGCATATCTCGAACTCCCAATTTATCCCTTCCCACCCCTTGTACCTGCTGGGAATCATTATGTTTGTTCTCTATGTCTGTGAGTCTGTTTCTGTTTTGTACATAAGTTCATTGTATCTTTTTTTTAAAGTCCACATATAAGTGATATTATATGTTATGTTTCTTCCTCTTTCTGGCTTACTTCACTGAGAATGATGATCTCCAGGTCCACCCACATTGTGGCAAATGGCATTATTTTAATTCTTTTTTATAGCTGAGTAGTATTCCATTGTATAAATATCCACAACTTTTTTTTTCAGTCATTTGTTGATGGA